GTGGATTTTAAGGAATCTTCTTGAAGGAGAATTCTCTTAACCACCAAATATAAATATATATGAAGGACCGATCGTGGATATCATTGATTTGGAAGAAAATTTTAAAAGGATTAATCATGATCAACGTAGAATTCTTAAGTAATATGTTTGCATGGGCCAGATATGGATTTTAAAGGAATGATTGTTACCAATGGTGAAGTTTTAAGCAATATTTTCGGAGAATCAACAGTTTGGATTGTTTAAAAATTTTTAAGAATCTACAGTTAATTTTAAAGGATTATTTTTGAAGAACCAAGATTAGAGTTGTAATACATATTTTGTGAACATTTTTTAAAAATCCTGTAAGGACCAATCAAATATATTTATACTAAAATTGAAAGAAATTTTTTTTATTTGTTTATTTTTTTTTCTTGAAGGAGAGAACGTGTATTTTTAAGTAATATTCTTTCAAGGATTAGTCGTAAGGAGTCGTTTAAGAAGCATCAGTTGCTATTTTTGAAAACATTTTCCGAAGTTAATTTAGTTTTTTTTTTTTTTTTTTTTTGAAATATTATTTAAATTTTTTTTTTTTTAAGAACAACAAAACTCTAAAATTGCAGTTTCTTATTGGGTTGTGAAAAATATTTTTCGAAGGACTAAAGATCTTTAAAGATTTTAATAACAATTTTATTAAGGACCAATCGAGTATTTTTAGGCAATAATTTTGGATGACAAACACACCACTAATGTTGAGATTTTATGAAAAAGAAATTATGACTTATTGTTTGTTTTTAAGAAATTTTTATGTTTCATAAATATTTTTTGAAGCACAAATTTTGGTTAAATTAAAGAAATTCTTAAGAGACATTGTTTGACGGACAATAACGATTTTATTTATTTTTTTTTTTTTTGCGATACTAAGAGTCGAATTCAAGAAATACCTTTTAAAGGACAAATATTGTCGTTCTAAATTTATTTAATAACTTTTCAAAAAATACTTTGGACAAACCGAAAAAAGGCATAAAATTAAACCTTCTAATAAGTAGAAGAATATTATTTAAAGAACGAAAAGAGTTGTAAGCCTGGATAAGACTATGAGAAAAATGTAATAGCTTTTAACAATTACAGGTAAAATCCAACAGAAAATGAAACTAGAGTTAAAAGTAAAAAAGGCAATTTGAAAATTTACATCGCAAAGTAACCTAGGTGGGATGGGGTACAAACCCCCCCCCCCTTTCGGGGCTTTTTTGAACTACAGTGCATTCGACAGTATTACAAATAAAGTCACGAGGGTTATTCTGATAATGTTATCCATCAAGCGTGGGAACAAATGAGTCTTATTTTTTAAAGTATGGTTAAAAACTCCCTTGATCTTCAAATTTCACTATAAGCCACAACAGATCAAAAATCTCTATTATCATTGTATTTCAAAATTTTTTGCGTCAATTTTTCCTACGAAACCCGTTTATTCATTCAGATTATACTCTGTCTTTCTTCAAGTCGAAGCCTGAAAGTAACATCAAATTTCGTTTTAAGCAGGATTTGATAATACTCCTTTGGAGATCAAAAATCCAAAAGAGTTCTGGGTTCTTGGACCAAATATTGTTTAGGTCCTTATATAGTTTTGTCCATATACAATAGGGACAGTTGAAAATATATTTCGAGCATTTAAGATAGAGCTTTGAAATTTGACAAGGATCTTTTGATTGCATTAAGAACCATTTGTAAAGAAATTGGGACATATCGGTCCACTTTTTTAGCTTCCATATAAGGATTATTCCGATTTCAAGTATTTTATAGGATTTTTTACAGTTTTTCTTTTAATTTCGCCAAATTAGGATATTTTGAGTTCTTATTATGAGGAAAGCTGTTTTCCAAAATATACTGATATAGGTCCCACGTTTGATACATTGCTTAAGATTATAATTTTTACGAGGGTATTAGTACTTTTTGTCTCTTTGTTGATAAAGAAATTTCCCAAATAAGTCAAATTTAATACAAATTTATTGATTGCTTTTTACACTATTTGCTTTGAATATTCCTGTTAACAGTTTATTAAGCAAATTTATTAAAAAGTTGGAGCTTTGTTATTTTATTCAGATATTCTAGAATACTAAGTATTAAATATCGCGCATACCAATGGTAGGAATTTAATGAAAAAGGTAGTTGTTATTTATTATTTACGAGTCGTAGCCTTTGACATATTAAACGTTTTGTCTTAATTTCGTTTTAACTTCTTATCTTACAATAAAACTTAATAATATAAATCATGGATTTGTATTGTTTTATAAAAGTCTAGATTTTTTATCGAATTTGTTAATGAAATTTAAGAAATTAATTTTTTATATTTCAATTATCAGTAATTTTCGTATATTTGATTGTGGATAAAATAAATCCAATAACATGGGTTCCTCTAAGCGTATGATGAATACATCTTCATTAACACTATGTACAAAATAAATCATACGCCACATTATCCAAATCCACGAAATGCTACCGTGTTTTAAGATTCTCTTCCACGTCCTCAACCAATAACCCTTTAACATTTCAAAACTATGTGGTAAATAATGTTTATACACAGGTTTTTCTTTGCTTATGTCAAAGCAACTCTTCAAGACAAGTTAGTAATTTAGACCAGGTTTTTTGTCGTCGAGGTTTTTTTTTGTGTATTCCTGGCTTCTTGGCTTGGTACACATTTATGTTATGATTTCTTATTGGCCAGCAACTGACTGACTGTTTATTTGTTTGTTCATTCGTGCCTCTGGTGATGTTCATTTGTCCAGGGGGGGGTTCATTGGGTTCTGCAAACCATTCCGTTTGTTGGGTCAAATATTTACAATTTATTATTGCAGCAGTATTTAAATTAAAGAAAAATATGACAGTTGGCTGGAAACTATAAAAAGTTAGTTTAACTGCTGGTCGTTGTATTCAAATGGACTATTAGTGTTTGTTAGAGGATTCATAACGAAGAGTGTAAATTACAATGAATGAGGATGTGGAATGGAAAATAAATAGGGATTCATATTTCTTGAAAAGTATTCTGCCTTAAATTTAACACAACTGTAAATAATTTCCCGAAATATTAAGAAATTGTCTGAAAAACTACTATGAAAAAAGTTTAAAAGATAATTAAAAATCCAGTTTTCAATTCATTGAATAAGCAATTATTAATGAAACATTAAAAACGATAAGGGTCAAATTATTCTAAGGAGTTTGGGTATATCATGAATGTTAATCATATATGGAAAATACATAAGCAGAAAACTACGAAGTAGGGACTCACTTCAAGCTGGCTGTCTATTGTAGGGTATAATTGGAAGTACAGGGTTAGATAAAAAACTGCAACCAACTTCAGACTGTTGTCATTTCTAAGCCACGCGCGCGACATCTGTTAAAATTATTTCAGTGACAGCTCATTATATTGTTTACAAGCATATAAAATCATTTTGGTGAGAATTTTTAAGAAAAAAAGTTATTTGTGATGGAACTCAAGCGTGATAGTGTGATTTTTTTATTTTTGGGTAGAAAACCACAAGAGGCTATCGCTAGAGCACTCCAGCATTAAATGTGAACAAATCTTATATATCTCGCACCATCGCTTGTTACCGTGATACTGGTAGCGTAGCTCGCCGTCAAGGAAGTGGACGGAAGAAAACACCAACATCAGCAGAAATGGTTCGAAAAGTAAAAAAGCGACTTGATCGAAACCCGCGTCGCAGTGGCCGCAAAATGGCTCGTGAGCTGAACATATCGCAATATTCCATTCGGCAAATATTGAAAAATGAGCTCGGCGCTTCGAAATTCCAAAAAGTGCAAGAACTTACACAGCAACAGAAAGAAAATAGACTCAAAAGAGCTAATGAGTTTCTTCGCTTGGCTGAAAGTGGTGAGCTACCGAATTTGGTTTTCTCCGATGAGAAAACATTCGTTTCCCAGCAGTTTGTTAACAAACAAAATGATCGTGTTTTCTTGCCAAAGAGATCAGCTGAAAATGTGCACCTTCGGTTGGCCACCAGGACTCAAGCGACGGCCATGGGGATGGTGTGGGCCGCCATAACAGCCAATGGTCGCTCTCCGCTCGCGTTTATCGACCGTGGCATCAGAATAAATGCCGAATTTTATTGCCAAAATATTCTGGAGGGTGTGTTAAAGCCTTGGACATGCAAACATTTTGGCTGTAGACCTTGGACATTTCAACAGGACTCAGCACCATCGCACTCAGCACGCGCCAACCAAGAATGGTTTTAAGATGAGGCTCCTTGCTTCACTTCAAGCCCACAATGGACATCAAAATCTCTTGGACTATTGTGTCTGAAGTATTTTGGAAAGCAAGGTTGGCTCTGAAAAAATTCCAAAGTGTCGATCACCTCAAGCAAGCGCTTCGCCTGAAATGGGCCAAAATACCGCAGAGCAACATTCGGGCAGCGTGTGACGGTTTCATTAGCCGTTTGAAGGCCATAATTCGTGCCAATTCGTACCAATTCGAACAAATCTAAACTTATTCTAAAATTTGATGCTTTTTCCGAAATTTTCTGCTTTCATTCAATAAAATTAAAAAAAAAATATGGCGTTTGACTTTATTGCAGTTACTTTATCTCACCCTGTACTCGCTTATATTTCAATGTATGAATTCAAAGTTTATAGCAAATACGATAGTCTCTTAAAAATAAAATGAAAAAATAGGTGTCCATATATTTTATTTTTTGAGTCCCACTTTTTTCTTGATTCTTTATAGTGTCTTCATGATATTCCTTAGTTTTGATTTAATGCAAAAATTAATCTCTCTTTAAATCGAACTTTTATCTTTTCATATTAAATCCTCTTCCGCAAATAGGCTGAAAAGTCAAACAAAAGTGTCTCTACATTAATTTCTAAATGTTAACTTTTTATTCTAAATTTGTAATAGTTAACTTTTAATAATCCATCTCTTACTTACATTCGTATACCCTCACATTCTTATGGCAATCAGTGTGTCCTTTAATTAACTTAAAATATTTTTTCCTTTTTTCTACTCTTTCTAGACAACAAAACATGTAACGAGAACCGCAACTACTCCACCCGCCACCTGAGAGCTGAAAAAATAAACTAAACCAAACCAGGAGGACTGGATTAAAATTTGTGCCACAAAAACACACACATACACACCCAAAGTATTGACAACAATGCCCAACTAATCAAAGGGTTTTACCGGTTTTGGTTAGCAAATATACCGCACAGCAATCAAAACAAAAAACCCTAAAAACAAGGAAAAGCAAAGAATAAAATCAAACAAAAAATCCCAAGTGAAAAAGCAAACAAATTCAACAATGGCTTTTATGGTCCACATCGCATCACAATAGACTGGACCACTAGCTAAAATAAAAACAAAAAACCGAAACAATCCCTTCTACGCCTACTCAGCCAACTCGTTCGCCCAACACATGCACAGACACACCAACACCACCAATGTGGATTATGCACTTTACATGCCAGACTTGCTACAATAATAACTGTAATCGCCTGATATGTCGCCATGGCTCGCAACAAAACAAACGAAATAAAATCAACAGACCAAGCAGCAGCAGCAACAACAACAACAGCACTACCAGCTTCTGCAGTGGGAGTTCCACTAGCATTGCTTGCAAACAATGCATTTCATCAGCAGCCTCCCAAACACTTCTGTCGCCAACAACAACGGCATCTGCACGGTCGTCCCCATCATCAGCGTCATCAGCACCCGGAGTATCAGCATCGAACCAATTGTGGGACACCAGACAACCACCAACACACAGATCCACTAGCCACGTCACTTGCCCCAGATGGCATACCACAAGATGTCCGCTATTGTTTGGGAGACGATAATACCGCTCAGAGCATAACACTCTCCTGCAAGGTGAGAAGAAAATCCAAAACATTCTCTCAGGCATCCCGTTTCACACTACCCCTGTTCTCGGAGTCTCTCAAACGCTTTCGCAGCATACCACTGGTCCAGCTGCTGTGGCTGCTCTGCTGTCTCAGCAACTTGGTGCACCGCACCATGGCCGAGTGCCCCAGTGTGTGCGAGTGCAAATGGAAGAGTGGCAAGGAGTCTGTTTTGTGCCTTAATGCAAATCTAACACATATCCCAGCTCCTCTGGATGCTGGTACCCAGGCTTTGGATCTGACGGGAAATGAGCTGGCCACCATACCGGATGACACCTTTGCCGAGGTTAACCTACTCAATCTGCAGAAAGTCTACTTGGCCAAGTGCCGGCTGCGACTCATCGAACGCTATGCCTTTCGGGGACTCATCAATCTGGTGGAGCTGGATCTCAGCTATAACGCCCTGGCCCACATACCATCCGATGCACTGGAGAGTGTAACAGAACTGAGGGAACTGAAGCTCAACGGCAATCCCATACTGGTGGTGGCCAACGATGCCTTCAGGCAGATGATGCATTTGGTGCGACTGGAATTGAGCGATTGTCGCATAGAAACCGTAGAGGTTAAGGCTTTTGCTGGTCTAGAATCCAGCCTAGAATATCTGAAACTAGACGGCAACAAACTATCCGAGGTGAGATCTGGGACCATAACCTCCCTCACCAATTTGCATGGCATTTCGTTGTCACGCAACATGTGGAATTGTTCGTGTTCTCTGCGCCCGCTGCGAGCATGGATGCTAAGAGAGAACATACCCTGCGGCATACCGCCCGTCTGCCAAAGTCCACCACGTCTGGCCGGCAAATCATGGGACAAAATTGATTTAGACGATTTCGCCTGTGTGCCACAGATCATTGCCACCGACACCACTGCCCATGGCGTTGAGGGACGCAACGTCACCATGAGCTGTTATGTGGAGGGCGTACCCGAACCTTCGGTGCGTTGGATGGTCAAGAATCGAGTGATTGCCAATTTGACAGCTGCAAACGGTGACCAACCCTCCACCAGTCCCCGCACAGCGGCCGCCACACAAGGCCGCAAAACCTATGTTGTCAATATGCTACGCAATGCCTCCAATCTGACCATACTCACGGCGGATATGCAAGATGCTGGCATTTACACATGTGCGGCGGAAAACAAGGCTGGCAAAGTGGAGGCATCCGTAACACTGGCTGTGTCCAGACGTCCCCCAGAGGCCCCTCTGGGCTTCAAAGTTATCCTGCTGTGCATATTCATAGCCTTGCTCTTTGTGGCCGGTTCATCCTTTGGGGCCATATGTTTTTGCTCGCTGCGACGCAAAAGGAAAATGCGTTTGTGGAACACAGTGCCGCAGGGCCGTACGGAAAGCTATGAAAAAATCGAAATGACTTCGCGTATGGCCGGGGCCGGAGGCATTGGCGGCTCAAACAAACCGGATTTGGGTGGCAAAACGGGCCTACAGGAAACGGGCAAAACGGCCAACAATACACAGGGTCAGATTTTCCATGACAATGAAAATGGCTATCTGTGTTCGGCCACCACACCTCTGAACTGTGGCTCGGACGATGGCGGTGATACGGGTGGTGCCATCGTCAATCCAAGCGGAGGCAGTTCGAAGCGCAACGGTGATTATCGCAATGTACCCACCCACTGTGATGACGACGATAATGATCATATGCAGCAGAGCCTGGGCAGTAGTTCGGGTGGTGGTGGTGTGGGTTGTGGTGTTGGTGCTGGTCACACGTATCAACGCAGCATGCTGCTAACATCAACAACACACAATAATGGTACATTAACAACCACCACCAGTACCTCATTAACAACACCACGTTGGAAAACAAGCTCAGCGTTTCAATCAGCAGGCGGTCCTGATTGCCACCTTTCACATTTGGACGCAACGCAGGCGGGTCTGAAGTCGAGCGGCAAAGAGGATACAGACTTGCACATACCAAGGCTCATTGATATTGGGTAAGTGTTTTGGACAGAGTCTTTTCTTCTTTTTTGCTTTTCATGCTTTAAGAGTTAGTTGAAGTTAGAGAAAGAATTTTGGTAGGTGTCAATGTGAATTTAGTTTATTTCGGGATGTGTTAGTTAGTTTTGTGGCAAAATATATAATATTTTAAATTTTGGACCAATAATTCAAACATTGTATTTTGCCGTAGAATAAAATTTTTTTTCACAATAAAATTTCAATTTTTATTTGATTTTCGCAATGATTTCAAAATGAAATGAATTCATCAGATTTCTCGCTTTTTTGCAATAGTTATACGTGAGACAGAAAATTTGCCGCAGTACAAGTTACAGTAGGTTTTTTGTAATGGACAATTTATCATACTCGCATATTGTTGATATCAGGTCGAATGTTTTCAATTGTAGTTCCCATTCCACATTTTTATTGAAAATTGGTTAAATACTATATCGCAGACCTCCCTATGTTCGGAACTTTGATGATTTTAGCAACATTTTTCAATGGAATTTTCTAAAAATCCATGTCTGAAGTTCTATTAAAGCACTTTACGTCCTGGAAGAGAATTGTCTATATATACATACATACATATTCAACAGTGTCCCCCGATATTCGATATATTTGGGCACATTATTAGCCGGAGTTGTTTCAAATTTCGTATTTAGAATTCGTAATGGGTACTACAGCCTCTGAAAAAAATTAGGTATGAAGGCCCACGTCTTCGTATAGCTTCCATATAACGGCACAATATTAGGCATTTTGATGGTTTTATCGACATTATTCGCGGGGTTGTTTCAAGTTTCATATTTAGAGTTCGTAATAGGAATTAGAATTTGTGGCAGAAAATTGTCTATGCAGGTAGAGGTCTTCGTATAGCTTCGATATAACGGTACCTCCCTATATTCGGCATTTTGATGATTTTATTATTATATTATTTTGTGACTGCAATGGCTTATGACAAAAGTTGCTTATGTAGGTTCACGTCTTCTTATATACCCCAATATAACATATATATTCAGGATTTTTAAGACTTTTACACAATTGTTAACAGATTTTATTTTTTTGAAAATTTCCTAATTCGTTCCGAATGGTGGAGGAGGGTATTCAAAGGTCGGTCCGGCCGAACTTAGTGCTTTTTAACTTGTTGTTGCTCCAGTGGACAAAACTTAAAGAAAATCGGACACTTATTTACAATTCTATAGGAATAATTGTTACAAAAAATTGTAAGCAGAAGAAGTGGGCCGTAATAGCTATTAGATCAATGGTTATCAGAAATATTAAGGCACACGAAGTTTGATGAAAATCGCTGCTAGTTTCGCATGTTATAAGGGTTATAATTATTCAAAATGTCGACCCATTGTGAGGGAGGTCGCAGAAGTATTGGGCCTCCCTCACAATGGGACTCATATCAATGTTATGAGAGATATAATAATTTACAATATTGACCCTTTGTGGGGGTGGTACTTCCTGGAGTGGGCCGATGTCTACCGTCTTCTCAACACATCTTGATCTGATTGAGTTTGAAGAGTTTTTACGAGCTTCATGGCTATTCAAAACTTTGACCCGTTGTGGGAGAGGTACTTGATGGAGTGAGTCTGTATTGAATAGACTCTTATTTCATATTTCATAAGAATTGTACGTACAAACAAAAGGTTTTGAACTTTTTACAAACAAAAGGTTTGAACTTTACAACACAAAGGGTTTGAACTTTGTGGGGGAGGTACTTGATAGAGTGAGTCGGTATTGTCAAAAATATTGTGATTTGCACAACATCGAATGATCCTTTCTCTTTCTATGAGATAAATTATTTTCTTTGACAAATTTGACCTTTTTGATGGAGGTACCAGAAGGAGTGGGTCGATATTGCCCATCTCTTAACTCCATCTAAGTTTGACAATAATATTACGATGTACCAAGTTTGGATCAAATCGGACTGACACCCCTAGATCGACTCCAAATGTCCAGAAACAGATTTTGGTACAAATCCGATATATTTTGATGACACAACTTTTGGCCGAATCAAATTATATACACCCTTAGCCATGATAAGGTGCATTGAGTAAGTAATTGATGTTCTCTGGAATGCGTGAACCGATTTGGTTTCAGCATATAAAAGGTCAAGGCAATACAAGGGTTTTTATGTATGAACGTATGTGTAGATTTATGAGCCACAACTATGTAGAATAAGGATAATAATTTGGGAAGCAGCGCATAGGGAAATGTGTATTAAGTGTAGAAACTGTACTTAATTGGATATAAAGTATAAGAATATACCTCTACTTAAGAATTTTGCTACAAGGGTCTCTCAGGTAAGGAAGTGAATTTGGAAATCCTTACTCGAAAAGTACTAAATGGTCTAAAATTGACATATGCGTATAGGGCAAAATAGGTTAGGTTAGTGTTAGTAGATTAGGTGGTAGATTTTGAAATTCCACGACCTAGTTGTCTTAAAAGACTGGTAAAGGAATCTAAATTGAAGTAAAGTTTATCCAAACAGAGAAGTTATTACGTTGCATATTATATGAGCTCGATAATTTGTTTCAATATGTGGGTTGTTATGTTCTATGAAATACAGGGTTGCCCATATTCGACGGACCCATGTTTTATTTTAAAAATCAAAGAAAAAGAAAAATTTGGCGGTTGGCAATGTTAATCATTTAATTTGTTCCAAGTAGATTTGTTTACATCAATTTTTGAATATGACATCTCTCAAATGGCCGCCACTGGCGTTGATGAGGTATTGTGCCCTTTTTGCTGCATTTTCCATCGTTTTCGGCAACATTTCGGCCGGAATAGCGGCTATTTCTTCACGAATGTTGTCCTTGAGCTCTTCTACGGTCTTTGGCTTGTTAACGTAAACCTTTGACTTTAAATATCCCCACAAGAAGAAGTCAGGAGGCGTTAAATCGGGCGAATGCTGTGGTCAGTCCAAATAACTACTTTTCGACATCAAACGGCCCGGAAACAAATTCTTCAGAAAATCGATTGTTATGCGACTTGTGTGCGGTGGAGCGACGTCTTGTTGAAACCAGAACTGCCTCATACGCTTTCGACGAATAATTGGCATGACAAAATTGGTCATCATGTCGCGATAACGCTCCTGATTGATGGTAACAGCATGGCCATTTTCATTTTGGAAGAAAAAACGGCCCAATGACCGTTTTCTCACTAACGCCGCACCAAATTGTGACTTTTTCGTCATGAAGAGGCACTTCTTGAATCTCCTGAGGATTTTCAGTGGCGTAAAAACGGCAATTTTGCTTATTTACGGTCCCATTCTATGTGAAATGGGCTTCATCGGACATGATCATTTTGTTCCAAAATTGCTCGTCATCTTCGGCCATTTCGATGACCCTTTGGGCCCATTCCAATCGACGAGGCTTGTCCGCAGGCAAACATTCTTTGCGTCAATTGAATTTTGTACGGGAACAAATGCAAATCAATGTGAATAATCCGTTGTAAAGTGGACCGAGCCATGCCCAACTGCTGAGAACGGCGTTTTTGGGATGTTCTTGGGGACCTCTCAACACTGGCTCGTACGGCAGCGATATTCTCGGCCGATCGATTTGGTCGACTTTTATATGGTCTCTTCGGATTAGAAAGAGGCTTACCAGTCGAAAATTTTTCGTATAAACGCTTAATGGTGTTCTTAGAAGGCGCACTTCTCGTGGCGTGTAGTGGTTCATGGTAAAAATCTGCTTGGACTGACGCTTCAAACGCGGTATGTAATTAAGCGATGTAACATCTCTGTCAAAAGTTATGGCGTTGCCAGATGGGTCCGTCGAATATGGGCAACCCTGTATACATTAAACACTAAAACTTCAGACCAACAAAGCGGACCAGGCCTGCTAGTTATTTTATATAGATGTGTAGAATTGAATCCTAAACATAAGGATGGCTGACATTGACATTTAGATCCAGTTTCAATCACAATTCCCAAATGATTTTGCAGATTTTTAAAAAGGTCTAAGGAATAAAATTTTAAAACCAAAATTTTGGATTTTTCAAATTTTTATTTGTTATTCGTTTCTGTAATTGTGACTTTTATATTAACATGTCTCCGCCATGAGCTGTTGCTCTATGTATTGTAGACACAAACCATTTGCTCAAAATGCATTTTGTCTAGTCTTTACCATTTTAGGTCGTTGCTATACGACAATATACCGTGCATTTCGGTATTTTGGAGGCTACCGGCATAATTTCCAACATTTGGTATAGCATCTGTTGAAGATACCTCTTGATTTTTGATTTCTTACCTCTTTTTATTTTTTTCTAAATTTTAAAGAGATGAAGACATCATTGCAAATATATGATCTAGATCTTAACGATCGCTCTAAACTCCCTTTCAAAATTGGGGTATTTAAAATTCTGCCTGACTCTAAAATATCCCATTTCTAATTTCTTGCTTTCAATTTGTATAAGGGAAAAAATATTTCGTCCCTCAAATGATTTTTAATTCTAAAGACCCTCTTTAAAGAACATTCGGATTTGAAATGAAATGCTCGGCCACTCATCCGACATATGTACATACATACCTTCTTTTTTTTTAAAAACCTGTTATTATCCTGTACTTGTACTTGTTCTTTCTATTACTATGTTTGTTGTTGTTGTTCTTGTAGATTACTTGAAAAATCATGGTACTACTAATCGCACACAACAGCCACCACTCAATCTCGACACCAGTACCAGAAACAGTAACAGTCTCAATCTCAATCAAAAACAAAAACCGACCGACGGACATTTGCTAAACCGTCTGTGACTGTCAACTTGGTCGTTGTCGTCTCCATCGTCTCCGTCCTCGCCAGCATTTAGTTAACCTTATCATCTTCATCATCGTCATTATGTTAGAGGAAAACATTATCACTTCGTTGACTTGGCGTTGGATCCTTGCACTCGCCGTGTCAGTGTATGCGAGTGTGAGTGTGTGTGTGTCCATGTGTTTGAGCGTATCCTTTTGGATACGTGCGAACCTCATAGTGATGTTGGCGGTGGTGTCTGCTCA